TTTAAAATTAAGAAATAAGATTATATTTTATTATTATTATTATTATTATTACGGACAATGCAATATACACATTGCACATTGTTCCTATATATAAAAAATAAAATAAAAATATTAATATTTTATTTAAAATATAATTATGTTTATATTATATATACCTTGTCATTAAATTGTGGTTGTGGTTGTGGTGATATTGTTGATGATGATGATGACGGTCCCTATAAATATAAAAAAAAAATTATAAAATGTTATGTCTACTATTAATGTTTCAGTATATACTTACACTTCGACGACGACGTTTTCTGTATGAGCCAATGCTATAATTAGTTGGTACCCTGACTCGCAGGTTATATCTCTGTAAGATTTTTAAAAAACAAACATATAAATTGACAAAAAAACAAAAATAAATTATTTATTTGGTTATCTTGATCATCATTCTTTTAAAAGATCATATAAATTGAAAAAATAAAGTTAAAAAACTGATACTTACATCATTATTATCATTGTTGTTGTTGTTGTTGCTATTATTGCTATTGTTGTTGTTGCTATTATTGTTGTTGTTGCTATTATTGTTATTGTTGTTGTTGTTGTTGTTGTTGTCTAGATCTTTAAATTATAATCCAAATGGATATTTTTTTTTTTCAAAAAATTTTTTAGTAAAAGCCAATTTCAAAGATAAATATACATACTATCAATAAATATTCTGCTATCGCCATCATTATTCTTTTAAAAAATTACATATAAACATGTTAGTTATAAAAATGTAAACGATAAATGGAAAATTAGTTAAAAATTAATGTTGATTATAACCTCGATATCATCATCATCGTCATTATTGTTGTAGTTGTTGCTATTATTGCTAATGTTGTTGTTGTTGCTATTATTGTTGTTGTTGTTGTTGTCATTGTCATCTGGATCTTTAAATTATAATCCAAGATGAATAATTTGTTTTTTTTTTCAAAAAAAATTTTTTAATAAGAAAGACAAATAAACATACTATAAACAATTATTCTGCTATCATCATTATTATTCTTTTAAAAAATACATATAAAACATGTTAATTATAAAAATGTAAAGCAATAAATGGAAAATTAGTTAAAAAATTGATGTTGATTATAACCTTGATATTATCATCATCGTTGTTGTTGTTGCTATTATTGCTATTGTTGTTGTTGTTGCTATTATTGTTGTTGCTATTATTGTTGTTGTCATAGTTGTCATCTGGATCTTTAAATTATAATCCAAAATGAATAATTTGTTTTTTTTATATTATGTATATATATAACAATCAAAGATTAATGTTATTAACGATAATTATTAATAAAGTAATAATAACAATCAAGAATAAAAAAAATTTTTTTTTCGAAGAAAATTTACAGAAAATAAAGCTTTTAAACAAATTAAGGGGAAATTTTTTTTTTAAATAATGTTAAATATTAAATGGGGCACTGCAACAAATCAAGGCAAATGGACATTAAAGATTCCAGGGGTTAAACTTTAATGAAATACATCATCCAACATAATTTTTCCGCACTTTCAAATAACTGCATTTACTATTACTTTTAATGAAAGAACAGAAAACCATTCTTTGTGTTCTTTTTTCCGTATAAAATCAGCTGTGAATGAATGTAACTTTACTTTCGTGTAAATACGATAAACGCTTACCAATAAAAAATGAAACCTTTCGAAAGAGCCTTGTGAAGGTAAACTTTCTTGTAAAGATTTAGGTGAAATAAATATGAATGAATGAAATATGCGGTGTTTTTTTTGAAATGGATAAGTGAAATAAGACAAAAAAGGAAAAATAATCACTAGAGCACATACACATACATCTTTTGGAGGATAGTTGATCATAGAAACTATCATACCAGCAGAATGAGGGAAAGTTTGGTATCACCAAAAAAATGTAAAACGATCTAAGGAAAATTGGCTTTGAATGGTATTTAGTTGATATTCTTCAATTGTTAGTGTACTTTGTGTAACTGGTTATTAAAATTCGAGCCCTGAAATTTTTTCGGTCCTGTTGCGATATTTGTAGTATGCCCCCGAATTATATATTTATAGTAAAATAAGTAAAATACAAAAAATGCAAAAATAAAAAATAAAAATAAAAAATGTAACATAAATAAATAAATAAGTTAGTAAAATATAGAAATTAGTTATATATATATATATAAGAAAAATCTTAATCTTTAAATATATAAATTATATTTATATATTATTACTATAGCAAAAAAAGGTAATAAAATTTTAGATTAATTAATGAAATCGTTGATAATTTACCGGTTTTTTTTTGATTAATTAAATAAATAATAAAAACAAAATACTATATTTGTGATGAATGCAATGAAAAACAAAATAGTTACACCAAACCCATTCACATGGTTTATCATTCTCCTATAGAATAATCCCTCACCAATAATAATAAATAAAGGAAACCAAAATAATTTAAAACTTTTTTTGTCTTGGGGGAAAAAAAAAGAACAAGTAATATTACATACATAAAAATTGCCAATTAATTATTTTTCGATTATTATCATTGTTATTTTTTATTAATATTAAAAAGAAATTTTTGGCAAAAAAATAGATTGGATGTATAAAAAGAAAAATGATCGGAGTAATTTACACATTAATATTAAATATTAAAAATATGTAATTTGAAGATTTGGGAAATGTGATTCTCTTTTCCAACAAAGCGTGTGATAAAATTAAAAACCGTCGGTTTTATATGGGGCATGCTGTAACAAAACCAGACAAAGTGAACATTGGTATTACCAATGATTTCAGGGATCAAAATTTAGTAATGTGATTATTAAAATCCCCCATTTGTTATATTTGGGGGTTTTCTAGAAAAAACCAGTTATAAGTCTTTTTTACCAAAATTGACTTTTTTACATAACATCAATCTGTAACATTGAAACTATAACTGGAAAAATTTTCAAACCATGTTCGCATAATAAAAAAATGAGTAATTGGGAGCATAGTGGACACTGTTGCATATCAACAGTCATTTGTATAATATGCAGGTGGTTACACAGAGACCGTTGCTTCTGAAACTTCACTAGAATATAGCTGTAACCTCTCTAAGTCCAGATCATCAGCAAGATCAAAATTATCTCA